GCCCGTGGAGAGCCTGGGCAATGCCAGCCACCTCCGCCTCTCCCAGGGGGAGATACAGCGGGTCCTCGCCCGAATCCCCTGCAAGGAGATCTACAATGGGCAGCAGCTCATTGACAACGAAGTGGCTGTCAGGTACCTGCGCTGTATCTCACAGGTAAGAGGCATCATGGCTGTGCTCTCACTGGTGGCTTGGGGTTAGGCACTGCCAGCCTTAGCTCTTCCCTCGACAGAATCTCCTTGCTGAAATCAAGCTGCAGCAGGAGATACTGGTGGTTTTACAGAGGTATAAGGTGTCCAGACTCAGCTCTGTGGAGTTTTGCTTCCAGTGTGGTGTAGAGGCTATAGCTATAGATCATCCTGATAATTAGCCCCCTCTCCTGCCTGGGCAGTCTCGGGCTGCAGAGCAGTGACAGCCAAACCATCTGCATGTGTTTAGCCAGAGCAAGCTCAGAAGGGGCTGAGATGGATCAATAGCTGGTAGGTTGTCACCCTCTTCAATAACCCATCAGTTGCTCTTGCTTCGTATTACAACACGTGCAAGCAACGGGCCGATAACCATCTATGCCACTTGTTTCTGCCGCTGCATGGGAACAGCCAGTGTGTGTTTATTAACCATCTCAGGGAACCACAAATGAAGATGCCACTAACCACTTGTCCTGTGCTGAATTCCTCTCAAGCCCTCTGCTCCTGGCCATGCTGGAGACAGGATAGTCTGAAGCACCTGTCACTCATGCACTCCCATTTATAAGCAGCCCTTCTGCCTGACCTCCTTAGGGCACATAGGAATAATTATCCCTTTTAAGAGAAATGGAGCCACAGGGACTTCTCCAAAGCCTATTTTCCTGGGCCGACCCCAATTGGAAAGCACTAGGAGCTGAAAAACAAGAGGCTCCACATAGAATCTCCCCCCGGGTGATCTTTTAGGGGGCTGCATTTCCAGGAGGATTGAACCTCATGAGCTCTGTCAGTACAGCCTGGAGGCAGCTTGAGCTAAGGCTGATAGTAAACAAGACAGACTGGTCCTGGCTCTGCCCTCATCTCACTCTTCCTGTCAGACCCCATTAACAGGGGAGCTTTCACTGCTGCTCACTCACAGTAGATGTTACTAAGTTCAACAGCTCAGAAAAAGAATTAGACAGCTGCATAAACCAGGGAGTATCTGGGACAATACTACAAGTCAGAGGACACAGGCTATCCTAAACCTAGGTGACACACCGTCTTATTGGAGGCAAGACCAAGGGCTGGGCATAGAATTCAGCCCTGGTGTTATTTATGGTCAGTGGCTGCTGAAGCTCCACAAGTAAGAGGTGCTGCCTATGTGGCTGCACTGAACAAAATTTCAGTGCAAATGGTTTGTAGGGCCTCCTCTTCCAGTTTTGCAGTGTAAACACGGCCAAATGTCAAACAGCCCAAAGTGGAGTCAGGCATGTTTGCGAACCAGGGGGGTTCTGCTGGGCATATGCTCTGCCTGCCTGTGACAGCTCTGGTTCCCCTTCATCCCTGCAGGCTCTGGGCTGGTGCTTTGTGCTGCTGATGACCACTCTGGCTTTCTTGGTCAGATCGCTTCGGCCTTGCTTCAGCCAGGCTGCGTTCCTGAAGAGCAGATACTGGTCCCACTACATCGACATGGAGCGCAAGCTGTTCGATGAGACGTGTGCAGAGCATGCCAGGAGCTTTGCCAAGGTTTGCATCCAGCAGTTCTTTGAGGGCATGAGCACAGACCTGGTGGCTGCTCGCTGCCACCTGTCCAGGAAAGCTCCTGCCGATGCTGGGGAAGCTGCTGAGAAGCTCTTGGGCATCACTGACCAGGGCACCATGAACATGGCCCTGAAGAGCTGGCACAGATGCAAGCCCCCACTGGACTTACACCCACCTGCCCTTCCCACGGGAAATGGCTGGGCAGGAGAAGGGCAGCCCCCCCCACACCCCTCTGCACCTCGAAGAGAGACAGCTGCCTACTACAGCTGGGTGTGAGGGCCCAGAGCTGTGCAGAGGCAGAATCACGTTTTTGTGAGATGGGCAGCAGAGAGGGCAGAAGAAGCCAGGGCACAGGCAAGGGCCAGTGTCACAGCAGCTGCAGGGGAACAGGCACCCAACAAGCTCAGTGGTGCCAGTGTGATCCCATCTGCTCTCACCTGCTCTCACATCCAGTCCTACAGCATCAGTAATTCAGGTAATGAGTTTTATGCCAGGAGGGACAATTTTTCAAGGCCATGATGGACAAGCCCCAGGGATGCTGAAGGGTGCAATGTGGCAGCCAGAAGTGCCATGTGTCCCACACCACTGAGCAGCAGGTTGGCGTTGTGGCAGTTGCCAAGACAGACATTACCAGATGTGCAAAACTTCCTCTCTTTCATGACATGCTCAGCACTGAGTAGTGCATGTAATTTTAGGCAGTATTAAAAATCTCCTGGTGGGGAAACAAGCTCGGAGTGCCCCTTTCTCCTGTCAAGCTGTGAAACCCTAAAAGATCCCCTTACATTACCCTTCCACACACTACATCCCCACAGACACACAGCTCCAAGCCAAGACAAGCTTTAAAATAAATTTGACCAAAGCAATGAGCTAGTGAAGTGACATCCCATATCCACTACATGTGACAGAAACAGTTTGGTTGGTGTTACAGGTACCATTAAATGAAGATTCCACAGAGATGCTCCTTGAGGAAAGTGTCCAGACAAGGAGAGCAGCTAGAATTCAGCAGCAGGGAGTGGAAAGGGGGCCAGGCCAACACCCTGCCACAAATCTGCCTCAGGATGATTTGTTCTTACAATTTTTCCTGTATCTCTCCCTGACACAAAGATTGTTGCTAAAAAGCCACCTGGGTGTTTGTTTAAGGAGCCAAATAAATAATTCAGGCATACCATTCAAGCTCTGTGCTCAGACACCAGGATTTATAAAAGCTATTTACAAAAGCTGTTGGTGTTTCTTTACTTGGATGCAATGTAAAGGACTGGAAGAACCCCCAGATAAAGCCTGAGGTGCTGAGGCTGTGTGAGTTGAAGTGTTTTGCCAGTGCATGGCCACCAGTCCTGGGCCTCAGAGGAGAAGCTGGGAAGTCACTGCCAACATTACACAAGGTGCCTGCCCACTTCCATAGAAACAGAAGATGACAGAATGCAGGCCCTTGAGGTGACCATGGAAATCACAGCCTGGAAGAGTGTTTCCCAGTGGCCATGATTTTATTGCAAATATGGAGAAGGCAAACACCTTTTGAGGGATGAGTTTTAGCCATGCCATGTCCCTTCCGAGATGTTTATCCACTTAAAATTTCTGCTGCGGTGTTCTTGTTCAAACAACTTATTATGGCTGGACAGTAGCTTAGGTGACTGTCATTTGGATAAACCTTTAATTATCAGTGTGTAACTCCACAGAGGCTTTGGGGAGAAGAGAACAAAGGACCAAAATGATGAGGAAATTCTCTTGGCTGCTGGGAGAGCATCTTAGCAAGCCCATAGTCACAGGCAGGCCGAATCTGGCCAACTCCCAGGAGAAAGGAGTGTGACATTGCTTTGTCATTAATCTTCACACCCAAACTTTAATTATCACACCTGCCCAGAAATTAATAGGCACAAAACATGATTTACAAAGCAAAGGAGATTAAAAGATAAAGGTGGTTTCTACTCCTATTATTTGCAGTTCGTGGCTCGCTGAGAAAGGCATGCTCAGAGTCCCCACAATGGCGAGCAGCACAGAGGGATGGCAGGCTCCATGGCATAGCCATTAAGGTACCAAAACAGCTAGATACATTTGCAATGAGAAGCTTTTGGGCTTTTAACTAAGATTTTTAGGATTAGAGCTTTACCCTCATGCAGCAATCCAGCAGCTGCAGAGTCTTCATAGATCAGGCAGGTTCTCCTCTCCCTGCTGGAATCTGGGGACGTTGCTCATTGCCTTTGGGAGGAGAAGAGCTTTCCCAAGGGAACCCGATACAGCCCCTGGGATGTCAGCCGGGCTGTGGTCCCGGTGCTGATCCCGGTTTGTCGCAGTGCCCTGAGTGTGGAGCGAGCCCCACAGCCCCCACCAAGCCCCAGGCAAGCACTGAGGGTGTGGGAGAGCCGAGGGATGCACCGCACCCAAACAACTGGGAGCTGCAGAAACCCGCCCGGGGACCCCGGATCTGCGGGTAAGAAGGAAGAAGATCCAAAAATCCCATGGGCTGAGCTGCCAGCGCTGGGCTGAGCCAAGGTTTGCTCGGGGCAGAGGGGAACGTGGGTGTTGCTGAAGATTTGCCTGTGCTGAAGACATTTTCTGGGGAGGGCTGAGTTTAACCCCGGAGACAAGACGGCAAGGGGGGTGGGGAGGGAGGAAGGGGGCCTCAGCCTATGCAACAGGCTGGGCAGGGACAGATGGCAGAGAGGAGGGAGCAAAGAGAAAGTGAGGCCGCCTCGCAGGCATTGCTCAAGCGGAGGAAGCGGCGAGCGGAAAAGTGAGCCAGGCAGGAATGCACCGCAGTCGCCAAAAATCAGGCTGTGCCCAGGCCGGCACACACGGCCCCCAGCCCTGCTCAGCCCCCAGCCTGCTCGGTCCCGGGTGGGGGAAGAGGAACTGGGCATCCCACAGAGTTTGCGATGCCCCGAACACGCACCCAGGCGGGCGCCGTCCCGCAGGCTCAGCCGGCTCCCGTGTGCTAAAGAAGTTTCTGCCCCTTCTCGTGGGACCATGGGCTTCTCCCACACTGTCCCCGGCTGCTTGATGTGGCTCCCACCGACATGACTGTGTCACCTGGGGATTATAGGGGCAGCACCCAAGCCCCAGGCTGGGGGGACCCACCCTTTCCTCTCTGCACCCCTGGCAAGGTGCCTCATCGCTGCCGTTCTCCACGCAAACTCCCAGCCATCCCGGCCAGCCATTGCACATCTGCATCATGAGTCTGAGAAGCACGATGTACTTCTTTTTCCAGTGACTCAGCCGGGCACAGAGCCAAGCCCTCTCTTTGCCCCACCCAAGAGCTCAGGGCTGAGAACCTCCTCCTGCTTCCCAAAAGCCGTCAGAAAAGGGCACGTTTCAAACTGAAGCCTTTGCAAAGTATTAAGGCTGTTTTCAAAAGATTTTGTTTCGCCCATCAGACCAGCCTTGGCTGCATCCCAACTCCTGCACAGCCCTGTGTGCTGATGGAAACCCCTCATGACCAGAGCCTGAGCAAAAAAAATACAGGAAGTGCTGAGAAGGCTCCAGAACTGGTTTCAACCACTTTTTCAAGTAAGTAACTTAATTTTTTCTTGCTTTCATATATATTTTAGGGAAAGAAATAGGGGCTCTTAGAAACTTACCTACTGCAAACAACTCTCCTTGCCTTCTACCCAACCCTCTCTCCCAGACCAAAACTACCAAGCAGAGGAAGGGAAACCTCTAAATGGCTAATACTTCTCTTTGCCAGCTCCTCAGATTTTTGCTTTGCCATTTGCCAGGCTCGGTCAGGAAGATTACAGGACCATGTTTATCAGGGCTGTTTGTGGGTAACTAACAACAGATGCTTGAACTAGAGCAAGTTTGTGGATTTAGCATCTGGCTGCAAACGTGGAGTTCTACCAAGAATGGAGATGGAGGCCTGGCTCCTGATCACGTGGTGGCAGTTTTCAGCTGGTCTGTCTCCTTTGCAAAGGGAGTTTTGCATATGGAAAACTGGGAAGCTGCAGGAATACATTAAGGGCTGTTTACATTTGAATCATCAATATCACAATGTGATTTTAAAGGGACTGCCATGGGTTAGACACAGCAAAGAACAGAGACCAAATTTCTGCCTCCGTTCCCCACCCCTGCCCCATTGAGAAAGGGAGTAAACCAGGATTTGTTGGGGCAGCAGATGTACCGAGGCAGAGTAGTGGTTTAAAGCACAGTGTAAGAGCAAGACTTGTGCAAAAGACGACAAAGATTAAAGTATCTTTGTCTCTTCTGCCTGAATGTCGCAGCAGTTGGGGTGGCCCAGGGAAGATTTTGGGACAGCCCTGTGGGCCATGGCTTCCAGGTAGCCCCATGTGTGATGATGTGTGCCAGTACTTCCAGCACCGTGCAAGCTGCCAGAGATGGTTACTTGGGTGCCCAGGTCCTTCCTGTCTCCAGCAAACCCTGGTAACAGCAGTTCCTCTGAGGTCAGTGAGTTTTGTCACGGGGGTGAGGGTTCCCAAAGCTTGCAAGATGCTTAAGACTTCCTGAGGAGAAACCCTGTGGGGATGTAGCACTGATGGAAAATCAGCTAAGAAATTAGTTGAATCCAGCTTGCAAATGGGATGGAGGAATGGGAATCACTACAGAGAGTGTGGATACATTCCCCAGTTATTTCCCTGCCCTTAAAAAAAATCAGTGCCTGCAGCCCTGTCGGTGGGTCAAGCACAGGCAAAGGGCACCAAAGAGCATCTCTGGCACTGAGGCTGCAAGTTGAGTGAGGGGCTCAGTCTCAGGGCAGCAATTAAGAGGCTGAGCTGGGACTCCTGAGAGACCAGGACAGGGAGTGCGATTATGTCCATCAGCTGCTGGATGGGAGATCAACCTGCCACACCTAATCCTAGCAAAAGCTCACACATAATTGCTATCCCAGCTCTATGAGCATTTGGTGTTTGTATCCTGGGACATCAGGATAGGCTTTCCTATCCTGAAAAGTAACTTCTCTTGCTGGTAGCAACAGCCCCGAAGCATCCCTTCACCCTTCTCAGCAAAGGCTGCTCCTGCCTGGGCCTCCTATGTCACATTTCTGCACTCCCAAATCTGCTGGCATGTCTCACAGTACCCCTTGCTGCCTTCCTCATATACCTGTGTCTATTAATAAATATTAAGTCATCAGCTCTAAAGAGGGAAACAAAAGTTCACAGAGCACCTTCAAAGCAGCACAACCCCAGCACCCGTGTGCCACATGTGGCTGACTAGGGTGAGTCAGTGGCAGGCCTGGGACACATCCTAGTGCTAGTGCTCTGGTCCAGTTTTCCCAGTAACATCGAGTCCTCCTTCATTGCAGGTTTGGGAGATCATCAAGACTTTGCCAGTGATGCTGACAATAATTGCCTCCATGGGAGGTGACTAAAACCAAACAGAAGGAAAGACAACAAACATGCAATTGAGAGGGACAGAAAGAGATGTCTCACCTGTCATCTTTGCTGTAGTGAAGCTTTTGGAAGGCTTTTTAGTGGGAAACTAAAATGGCTGAGGTTTCACACATTGCTTAGGTGAAGTATCTTTTTTTGAAGTATCCCTGGTATCACCAACCAGCTCCAGAGGCTGGGACAGTTGGTGGGAGGAAGGGACATCAGTGAAGGTGTCTTGCTCCTGGAACAGCTCCTTGCACATCAGCTAGCACCAGGCCATTTCATCCCCCTCTGGAGTGTCCCTCGGTGCAGTTCCCCACTGCACACACCTCTCAGCCCCCGGACGAGATGGCTGCCCTCATCGCTGAGAACTTCCGCTTCCTCTCCTTATTCTTCAAGAGCAAAGATGTGATGATTTTCAATGGTTTGGTGGCCCTGGGCACAGTGGGGAGCGAGGAGCTCTTCTCAGTTGTTGCCTTCAACTGCCCCTGCTCCCCTGCCCGCAACTACATCTATGGGCTGGCTGCCATCGGTGTCCCGGCCCTGGCCCTCTTCCTCATTGGTGTCATGTGGAATAACCACACCTGGAACCTGGTGGCCGAGTGCCACAAGCGCGGCGTCAAGAACTTCTCTGCTGCTGCCACCTTCCTCCTCTTCGGCTCCATCCTGGGCCGAGCATCCGTGGCACCCATCACTTGGTCGGTCATCTCGCTGCTGCGTGGGGAAGCTTACATCTGTGCCCTCAGCGAGTTTGTCAAGCCATCCTCCCTGGACAAGTTTCCAGCTGAGTACGGGGCCGAGGTGCTGGCCAAGTTCCCCTGTAGAGACGTCCCTGCAAACCTCACCAAGTTCAGGGACGAGGTGACACGGAGGCTGAGATACGAGTCCCAGGTAGGCACTCCAGGGAGAAAGCCACAGGGAGTGGGTAAGACCACCTTGCCATGTCCTAACACAGCCTCTCTCTTCTCTCCCAGCTCTTTGGCTGGCTGCTCCTCGGCATCGTTGCCGTCCTGGTTTTCCTCACCAAGTGCCTGAAGCACTGCTGCTCGCCACTGAGCTACCGGCAGGAGGCCTACTGGGCCCAGTACCGCTCCAACGAGGACAAGCTCTTCCGACGCACGGCCGAGGTCCACTCCAGGATCCTGGCAGCCAAGAATGTGAAACAATTCTTTGGCTTTGTGGCACTGGACAAGGAGGAGAAGGAGCTGGTGCAGGAGTTCCCGGTGGAGGGCGTCCAGCCGAGCCCCCAGTGGAATGCCATCACAGGTGTCTACATCTACCGAGAGAACAAGGGCTTTCCCCTCTACAGCCGCCTCCACAAATGGGCCAAAGGGGTGGAAGGGAATGGGCCAACCCCAGAAGGCCACGAACTGCTGTTTTTAGCTTCCTAAGACACATGTGCACCCCACTTCCCCACACTGCCTGTATCAGTGCTCAGCTGAGGGATGCACTGGGAACATTCCTCCTGGCGGGATTATTACTTCTCTCAGCAGGTAAACAGGAATCAACAGCCTCAAGGCAGAGACTGATAAGCAATACCCTGAGCTGGGGAACCCCTCCCTTGGAAACAGCAATCTCACTGCTGTTCCTAGAGACACAGGGGAGCAAAGAGCAGATGCTGGGCAGGTCCCAGAGCACTTTACAGACTTTACAGGCTTCTTTTGCAGGCAAAAGGAAGCAGTGGGTAAATTTCTGTCTTGGTTTGAAAGACAGGTGTCTGCTAAGGAAAGCACAAGCCTCTTTTGATATAGAAAATGTACCCCCCCCCTCCAAATTATTATAATTTTGAAATTAAGGAGCTCTCAGGCAAAGATATGGGAATAGGAATAACAGTTCTTTACTAGGAAAATTAAAATAAAAATACAGTAATGCAAAAAACCCCAAAACACTGACAGAGTCAGAATACAACCTGACACCCCGTCAGGCAGGGTGTTGGTAGCAGTCCCATTAAATGGTGGCTGCCGTCCTCCTGCAGTGACAGATGTGGTTCAGTTGAAGCAGTGGTCCCGTAGAAGGGTGCAGTTTTCCTCCAAAGGTCCAGTGATGATGTGGAAAGGCCTGGTTTTCCTCTGGAATTCAGTGGAAAAAGGGTGCTCTGATGTTCCAAATCTCAGATTTTATCTAGGTAGAAAATGCTTGGCTCCTCCCCCAGGTGAAGCATCTCCCAGTGGGATGATGTAATTTTATCAGTCATGCAGTGGGACTCAGTGGCCCATTAACAGAATATACCTCCCTGGAGGAAGGATGGGCTGTGGAAGAGCTAAAGAACGCTACTCTACCTGGTTTTAACAGATGGTCCATTAACAGAAGATATCTTCCCTGGAGATAAAGATCACTGCCCCACCTAGCTTCAACAGATGGTGATAGAATACATACTTTTGGTTACATTCTGCTTTGCAAGCAAAGACAATTCCTGAGGCAAGGAGGATGCAATAGCATCTGGGAAGGAATGGGTCAGTGACATAGCCACACACCAAATAACAGAGACCAAAGAAGGAGGAATCACCAATATGCCTGGTATTCAGAAAGGCACTCTGTAATTACCAAGTTGAAATTTGGGTAAGAGACCAAACTCCTTGTGTTCTTATTAAAGTGCCTGGAAATTTCTAATGAACCCAAATGGTCGCCACCATGAGTCTACACACCCAAAGGAGGCACCATCAGCAGAACAGCTTTGGGGCAAGGTAGCAGGGTGGAGATTGAGAGGAATCAGTACCCACAGCACTGTCTGCATCTCATTGTATTTCTCATCCAACCATCAGATGAGAGTCTTTTGTTTAGGTTACAAGCTGCAGGAAGACCTCAACCAGAATTAGCTTTACATATATGTATATATAAACATACATACAGTGTATATACTGTGTAACTGTAGTTAGTTGTATTAATGGAGCATCTTTCTCAGAGGGGAAGGGGATGAGAAAGCTGCCAGCCCAAAGAGCACATTACATTCACCCATCTGCTGCACTGGGACTGCAGCCCTGGAGCAACAAGGGGACAGCAGGAACAGGTTGGGGGAGCAGCCCTCTCCCTACCCATCTACCACTGAATTTTCTAAAACCTTCCATTGCCTTAATTGGCCCCTGGAGCAGAAGGTCTCTTTTATGGACTTGGCCATACTCTGGGAAAGCAAAACCAGAAAGGTGTAAAATTACTACCCTCATCATGACACTGTGTGACTATGGCTTCAAGGCTGCTCCTCTGGCATTGCACAGTCCCTTTTCTCCCAGGGGTCAATCCTGTGTACACAACACTGTATAAAGAGCTGGCACGACAGAGAAGTTTGTTCTTCCTACTTGAACTGTTTTGGATATAGATACAACTTTCTCTTACACTGTGTCATTTACCAAAAAGCCTTAAATTGTTCAAAAAACAGCTCAAACCCACAGAACTCAGAGGGGCTTACACACAAGATTTGAAATACATTATTAAATGAGAGTTATTTTTCATTGCCTTCTGAGTTTTTTTCAGGGGGGCATAAAAGGCATAATTTAAATTCCCTTTGAAGTCAAGGACTGGAAACTTATTTTTTCTATTAAAGATTCAGATCCTCCCCTATCCAAATGATCCTAGAATGTTTTAAAGCATTACCCCATATTACAAGTTACTAACATGGCTTTTTAGTTATTTTTGCAGTGAGTAGCACAAATCTTGTAAATCAGAATACACAATTGCAGCAAAGGAGAGAAAATTATTTTAAAATCTTTAGACAAGCATGGTGTCTTGCAAGAAAGAGCTGCAGGCTATTCCCTCACACAGAGGCTGGAACACTGCTGAATGGGCGAGGCATCCCAGGATCCCTGTTCAGCCTCTCTACAGATTTGCTTTGCATTTGTGGGAAGGCTTGGCTCTCAGCCTCACCATCAACTAATCCACAGAAATAATCAGATGGAAGTTAAATGAAATTGCATTAACTTGAGATGAAAGGGAGTTCATTTGCATTTCTCACTGGCCCTCGAGTGCAAACATGCAGATGTGCACGCCTCCCCCACACAGCCAGCAGACACAAGGTACCTTGCTGAAACAAAACAGAGTTCCTCTTACTTCCTTTATTTCCCTGGACTTCGTCCTTGATAGTCCTAATTATTCGTTTGAACCACCTCCACTCTGGTTCCTTCTCTTCCCCTTCCCTCCTTTGAAGGAAAGGGGCAAGACACATAATGATGAGAATGGATTTTTATCCTAAGAATAAACCATGAGCACAAATCATCTTTTGTTCTGTTTACCTACCTTCTCTCCTGCCTTAAATCCACTCTCTTTCCATGTGCTGGGATGGGCTAGGGGCTTGTCCAGCTTGTCTGTTTTCCCTCCCTCTTGTTGGAGAGGCATGTTTGAGTGGACAGCTGTCAGTGAGGAGTGGAGAAGACACTACACTCCGAAATTTGTTTGCAATTGCAGAGATTTGGTTTTTCTCCTCTCCTCTGTCACCCTAAGCGTGGTCCCCACTGAGACAGCCTCGGGAATATCCCTGCTGTCACCCAGTGTCCCCCAGTGACAATGCTGAGGTAAGGAACATTAACCCACATGGTTTTATATACAAGTACAAGCAGCCAAGTTAGATTTCTCACTGAAATGCCAAGAGCTAAATTGAGCCACCTATCTTCCCGGCATGCTGGATCACACAAGCTGCAAGCCCACACCCCCTGCTCTTCCTCCAAAGACCAACAACAATCCCATCACAGAGCAACCCACAGGTCACAGCTCCCAGCAGCAAGATGGGCTCAAACCAGGCTCCTCCAGTACAGAGAATTACACACAGGTCTTTCACTTTTCCTACCTCCTACAGAGACTATAATAGCCCCAGTAGAGAAGAAGAAACAATATCTCTGATGGATCTTGGTTTCTATTGCAACGCTTATTTACGTGTTCTATTATGCAACTAATTAAACTAAGAGAAAGAGCCACCATCATCGAAGCTGTGTTCTTTAAAAAAAGCAGCAGTTTTTACTGGATGTTGCAATCAGCTTCCTCCACTACAAGACCACTAAGCAAAATCTGAGTACAGCACCCTGATTTCCCTGGGGGCAAGAAGTGAAATGACTTGTTTCTGGATCCCAAAGGACTTGGGAATGAAATAAATGCTGAATCATCCAGCCTTGCCAACACTGGGCATTCACAAAGGCAGAAGAACTGGTTCCTGCAGAGCTCTGATTTTGAGCTTACAGTACCTATATTGAGTAAGACTCTTCAAGTTTGGTATTTCAAAGCTGGGCATCTCCTTGCTGGGGTCTACACTGGATAATCACATCTGTTTGCATACCCTGTCTTCCCCTTGCCTCGAGTTCTTCCTCTGTAAAACATGTGGCTTATCATATCCACATCTCAGTGGAAAGCAAGAGGAACACAGAATTGTAAGAATATGGACCATAAGGCACTGACATCAGTGACAGCTTTTTTAAGCACCCAAAATACCTGGCTTTTTCCAAGCAGAAGGTTATATTGGGATAACTTTTTTTCAGCACAGAAAAACACTTTTTTCTTTGACTTCAGTGATTTCTCTTAAGAGACAATGACTACTGAAAATCATTGTTTTTTCTGTCATTAATCCCTAGCAACTTGTTACAACAGATAGCTACCCAGAGAGGTTGTGAAGTCTCCATTCTTGGGGAAATCAAAACCAAACTGGGAGTGCACCTGAGCAACCTAGTCTTGCTGACCCCTGTTTGAGCAGGAGCTTGAAGATTATCATCAAGAGATTCCTTCCATCTTCAACTATGCCACAATCCAGTGTTGCTCTGCCAATTTCTAGAGCACAAAGGCACCTGAGATAAATCTTTTGAAGTGTTAATTCATCCAAAAGACAAGAATCTTCTCTTACATCTTAACAGTGAGAAAAATCAATTTATAAGATCTTGCTGTACTTAAAAGCAGTGTGCCGTAACTGCACCATTTCCCCAGGAAAGTAAAACAGGTATGGCTGATGTTTCTTTCAATTATAAAACAGTCTATATTTAAAAACATGTCATCAACAGACCAGGATTATTTGTAACATCTGGACAAAGCTGCAAACATTTATCAAATCTTTTCACTTGATTGTTTGTTCTTTCCAAGCTGGTTTGGTCACAGACCAATATTCTCCAGAAACTCACTGTCCATGGACAGTCACAGCAGAACTCCACACGTGAAAAGCCAAGTCTCTCTGCTTTCACTTGTACCACACTTAGGTGTCAGCAAGGGAACTCTTGGTCTCCACATACTCAAGTGCTGCTCTTTTAACAGCCAGGACACTTTCTGCTGTCCCAAATTTCTTCTCATAATCGAGGTAGCGTTTGAAGAAGAATTTCATCTTCTTTGGTGCCAGGCTCAGGTGTATAACCCTCTCAAAGATGTCTCTGCAAGAAACCAAAGTGATTCAAATCACTGTGTTTGTGACAGCACTCAATACAAGCCTTGTACCCTGTCTTTTAACAAAGAGCAGAAAGTCCGGGGAAACATTCAGGGGAAATTGCTGTGAAATGCTGGTGCTTGAAGAGATTCCTGACAATTGACCAAAATCTCTAAGCAGAAGCCTTCTACTGGCTTGCAGAATGCTAAGGCTGCTGGTCAACTTACACAAAGATCCAGACACTGCATTGGACCTTGCATTCATTAAGTGGATGTGGAAAATTACTTCATTTTGTCACCTCTCAGTTAAAAAAAAAGGAAAAATATGTTTTTCCATTTTGGCATTACAAGATACAAAGATTGATTATTCAAGATTGATCTCAACCTTCAGATAAAAGGCAATCCCTGCAGAGGAACAGCTGAATCTCAGTGCAATGCCTCCAGTTTCTGTCATGCAGGCCACAACTTACAAATCAGTCCCCATCTGCCCTATGGAACTCTTTGGAGTCTCCTCAGTCTCATCACAGATAAGCACCTCCACACCCCAATTTTGTGGAAAAAAGAAAAAATCCCTTTTGCTGTGCTGTGGGAAGCCCTACACAGTCTCACACTGCCGGGTACCTCTGCCCTTTTCAGGTGTGCTCTGCCCCTTCCCAGCCTGCTGCACCACAACTCACCGTACTTCCTTCTGGCTGCCATGCTTGATCATGATGTCCATGTAGATGGACCAAACATCTGTCCGCTTGGGATAGCTGCTGAGGGTGCTCTCAAAGAGGGCCTTGGCATGTTCTGTGTCCCCAGAATGGAACTCCAGCTGTGCAAACCTTGAAATGACATCCACATCTGGAAAAAGTAATGACATCTTAGGGTATCACAGGAACTCTCTTCCACATGATCAAATACAAGTGAGAATTATACAGAACGGAGGCAGGCACAGAGACAGCACCATCTCTACAGTTCACTTCCCATTTCAACTCTCTGTGGAAGAGAGAGGTTTATTTTTATATTCATAACGTACCATGCAGAACCCATGGGCAGCCCCAGAAACCTGGGCAAGTGAACTTTTCTAGAAGGCTGTAAAACTAAAAGCTGCCTTTGCTTTGAGTGTTTTGCTTTTGTGCATCACAGCATTCTATTTGGTGCCTTTAGGAGAGGTGCATTTAGCAGTGACATCCAGCTTGAAAGTTCCCCTCCCCTGAGAGCCAGCTGGCTGCACTTTTCACTTATTACAAATGCTGTCACAGGCAGAGGTATCAGAGAGCAGCCCATCCCTGTCTACATTAAGGTCCACGGAAAGGCTGGGGCAGAGAGAGCTTACGTTCTTTGGTGGGCAGAGCCTTGAGAGCACGCTCCAGAAGCCTGTGTGTAGCTTCAGCCTGGCCTTCCTTCAGGAGGAAAGAGGCATATTTCAGCCACACGGACTTCTCCTGACGAAAACGCTTCAGCATTGTTTGGTACAATTCTTCTGCTTGCTGGAAGGACAGAGTTGGGTTAGATCACACATTCATAACAAAGCCTTGAAACTTTAAGACTCTTATTCTTAGGCTGAGTATCTCTGAACACTTATGACATAAAAGCAAGCATCATTGCATCCTTGCCCACTGTCAGTCATAACCATTAATTCCAGTTAAGAATAGGACAGGCCCAACATCTGACATCTGACAGCTGGAAGCTTACTCAGCCGGCATCTGCAGTTTACTGGCATGCCTGAATGGGATACATGCCAGGGATCTGCTTGCACTGTCTTACCTTGTACTTCTCAGAACTGGCATAGATGTCACACAGATGCTGGAAGACTTTCAGAGGTTCATTGTATTGAACTGCTCTCTCAAAAACCTTCATCAGTGTCTCCTCAGTACCATACATGTTTTCCAAGTTCAGCAGAGCTACCCAGACATTCAGCTTCTCCTGTTCTTCCCTGAAAACAGATGTGAACAAGAATATTCAGCCTTTTGCCAGTCTTCACCAGGTTTTTGCAAACTACCCTACACAGACTCACTGACTTGTAGCAGGTCTCCAGGACAAGAAAAAGGACATATTGCTCCCTGAAACATCAGTTTTGAAATGGAGCACAGCAGTTGATTCACACTACAGTTTTTTATCATTGCTGTTTGTAATTAAAAGGCAGAAGATAGAGTCAAGAAAGCACAATGTACTTAACCATGCAGTAGAGATGATTTAAGGTACAGCCCTACGGCAAAAGCAACAGGAGTTTCACCATTTGTTCCATGTTTTGATTCAAGGACGTCACTGACAGCTCTTCCAAATGCTTCTGACTGCTCAGTGCATCAGTGACACCTTCAAGAGCTCCTAAGCTCATGACCTGCAGCAGGTCAGCTGTGGGCCAGTGGTGGTGACTCAGGCCAGACCTTCTAAGGGCCAGCTGACAGTTGCTACCGTTTAATCCTTTTGAGCTCACTGAAACAGACTCTGTCTCCCCACACACACAGACTCACACTGATACTACCAGTGTTCTTCCACCACAGCTACCCTGTCATGATTTATTCTTTGAGGCAAAAAAGAGCTCCATTATTACCTGAAACTGATTGTTTTAAGTGCTCTCTCTGCCACAGCTCTGGCCTTCTCAATCTCTGTAGCCTGGAGGTGGAAAGCCATGTACTGCAGCCAGAGGATGGAGCTGTTGGGACTGCCCAGCACCAGGCGGTCAAAGTCATCTGCTGACTGGGGCTGCCGACTTGGGTCCATCAGAGCTGCCTCTACTTTGCAAAGCTCCTTCTCCTCCTTCTGCTTCTCCAGCTCCTTCTCCTTCTTTGTTCGTTTCTTTAGCTGAAAGAGCAAAACAGGAGGACTGAGGAAGGGCAGGCACTTCATGGGGGAATAGGCAGGTCCAGCTAAAGCAAAGCCAGACCTCAGTATGTCCAAGGCTAAGCAGTTTCCACAGGAAGAGAGGAGGCCAACTCTTTAAAAGAAGTTAAAAATTATACACATCCTCCACCTCTTCTTACACAGTTCACACCTCAAAGAAGAGCAGCAGTACATGAAATCTTTTTTTTTTTAATTAAACACATTGAGGGACCAAATATTTTGCTAGTCTGGCACCCCAGCTTCAGGATCCACACTTTGCCCTTCCCTCTCATTCTTCCATCTTTACCCTCCAGGCCAGTACTCGCCACCACCCTCCTTCACTCTGTGAACATCCAACACAATTTCTGCCCATGTACAACTGGGGCGTGTTGCTGGATCACTAGGGTGACTCAGGTCTAAATTTGGAACCCACAGTGCCATAGTTCTCTGCCTTGTTACCTTGGGCAATAAAGCATCAGCCATGCATTGCCTTTACAGAAGTGAGTTTTGAGGGACAAGGGAAATCCTGAAGAGCAAACATGAAAGGAGTTAATGAGATTGTTTCTGATTTTGCTAAATTGCTCCCACTGGAAAACCCTTCTAAAGGCTATAGCATGAAAGAGGATTGTTTTTTGATGCTTTTTGGTGTTTTGCTAAATAAGAAGACTGTAACTTGAAAGATTTTTTATCTCCAGGTTTTTCTGTAAATTTACAACACTCAGGAAAGTAAAAAACAGAGCTGACATTAAATAAAAAAGATTTGTGTTCATGAAAACATTTGTTTGACTCTAAATACTGATTTTTTAACATGTCAACATGAGAAAACCTGTTTTTTCATGCAGTCATGCTAAAATTGGGCTTTTTCTCCTCTGCTGCAGAGGTTTCTGCTACTAAAGTCAGTGTTCAAAATAGCTGAACAAGTTCTATGTCAGCTGTCAAAGATGTTCCCTTGGGTTAAAAGGCTTTGCTACAGGGCAGACAGACATGCAAATACCAAAGCATCATATTACAGCCACTGTGTGGTGTCTCCTGTGCAGACAACACAATTACACGGTACCTTGGACGGCATATCCTCCTCCTCCTCACTCTCTGAGCTCTCTTCCTTCTGATCCAGCACAGGTATATCCATTGCATTGTCTTCATCCCAGGTGAAGCCCATGGAAACTTGCAGCCTGGGAGCTTCACCAGGCTTCTTTACCTGTTCAGAGGAAGACAGAAATTGCCCTGGGTTTTAATTTTAAGTTTTCAAACTGGGATCAGACAATAGCTCTTTGCTTGTGGCATCTCTCCATTCAGTACTATTGACTTCTTGTACTTGTAAACAGCCCATCAGCAAAAACATTAATTCTGTGACCAGCTTTGGTGGTAATTTTGGGTGGTAATTTAAATTCCATCCACCTCAAGCCATTTTCAGATGACACAAACACCAGCCTGTGTCACTCTTATCTGCAGAAGTAATACTTATTATCTTAATGTCAAACTGACACATATCAATAGGGCTAGAAAGCTATTTCAGGCCCAGGTACTCCTCCAATCTCCTCACCTTAGATTTCTTTTTAGCTGCCTCTTCCTCCTGGTCATCCTCTTCCTCCTCACGGTAATACACCTCAATTCCACTGTCATTTTCATCTGCTGGGCAGATCTTCCTCTTCTTTGGCTTTGCCTCCTGCAACAAGTGGAAATGAGTGGATGGTGGAGGGCAACAACTTTGATGACCTTAAAGGCAATTCTGATCCCAAAGTAAAGAATCTGGCAGCAGAGAGAGGACAGTGCCCTGGCATAGCATCTCCCAGTGCTCTCTCCACTAACAGAGACAGTGGAGAATAAACCCACAATCACCTACATAGGGAAAAAAGACCAAAGGGACAGGAAACACAACTGGGCTGTCATCTCAGTTAGCTCCCACCCAAAAGGAACGGTTTTTGATCTTTGTCATCTCCAACGTAATTTAATCTTTTTTTCCCTAATCTGTATAATTTATCAAATTCATCCTTCTGGGATGAGACTGGGATCTTCCCAGTCACTTCAGTATTTGAACCAACAAAGTCCTTTAGCACGTCCTCTAGCAATCATACCCATACCTGAAGACTTTCATCGTTTCCTCTTCTCTTTTTTGTCTTCAGCTTAGGCTCTTCTCTTTTTTCTCTTTTCTCCTCATTATCTACCTCTCTTTTCTCTTCTTCTGCTCCATATTGTGGTAGGCCTAGGGATTCAGGGAAGACACTTGGCATCCCAGTGTCCTTGGGCAGGAGAGAGAGCTCAATATGTTTTTCTTTTCTATTTACCCTGTGGTGTATCACCAGGAGTAATAGGACAGAAGAATAAGAAAAAAAAAAAACCAGAGAATTTACAAAGACTGCAAGGATCTGAACTTCTTTCAAATCTTCCTGTCTTTTATCCTCCCTTTTTTCCATCCTCTCTTCTAATTCATAGTCCATTTTAAAGAACATTAGACCTACCCAAGTACTTTGGCAGTGAGCAATTTTCCTTCAGGCAGGTACTTTTCATATAAGGAATGTTTCTGTACAAAGTATGGGGAAACATTCTGGAACAGGATTCGGCCCAGGAGAGAAGTGGACAATCTGAGAAAGAAAACCACAAGTAAGTATTCTACAGCACGAGGAAAGAAAAATAAAGTGCATTTGTGGTACCACTAGTTCTGTAAAGTGTCTCACTAACTTTCCCTACTTTAATTTCACATGCTCAAGACAGTATCCATGACACTTGATTCCCAAGAGTAAATTCATTTTGCGACCCCACATTATGCCAGAGACCATCCCGAAACAAGATTCCACCATCATATACTCAAAATAAGTTCTCCAGGACACATAACTTGACAGAATACTTTTCTCAGGCTACTCACCCAAAGAATACACCTGATGGAGTGATTGATTTGACATAGCCTCTCACTAGCTGGCCTTTTTTAACATCCTTAATACTTGTTATTTCAATATCCTCCACTTTACTCTTTATCTTTGGATTTAGCCTAAAAGAAAACAGAGGTTAGAAGTTAAAGTACTCCTGTGAATAAGTCACATTCTGCTCTGGATAGCAGAAAATAGATCAGTATTAACAACAGCTAGTACTCTCTGGAAAACATACTGGATCAGAGACACCCTTCAGTTTATTGAAATGCACTAATGGACTACCTGCCTCTCTGCTGAGCTCTACACAGTATTAGGGAATACACATGCTGCTGCAAACAAAGCCAAACACATCAGCCTGGCTTTCTCTGACACTAAGAAAATGAGGAGAGTAAAATACTGTCTGAAATTTTGCACAGCATTTGCTTGGTGTTTTCCCCACTTATTTTTAAGATACTTAATTCCACACTTCTGTTGCATAAGGAAGACAAAGCAAGAGGCTCAGTTTTAAGAGATATTTAGGTCTAAGTCTATTATTTAATCAAAACCGTTAAAATGCAGCTGAACATTGAAACATAACATGTTTGTATTGCAAATTCAGTGGTAGAACTTTCTTCCCAAATAAGGAAACAAAAAAGATAAGGCAGGCCTAGAAACTATGACAAACAGAAATTAAATCTGAACCTATCTGAGCAGCTTTATGTTAAGTGTCAGACCCTTCAGTTTTGCTGACACACAGGAAAAAATCTTTCTGAAGTCTCACTCCTTATAAAAATGCATTCCTTGTTCTTTTAACACTTCTCACTGATCTTCCCAAACAAACAACAACTGCATTTCATGATCATTTTTTTTTCACTAGCAGGAGATCAACAGACTAGAGGGATGACACATACCGGGATTGCCGGAGAGATAACTGGATTTTACCATTCTCATTGGAGAGGATGTAACACCTGCATCACAGGGGATGGGGAGAAAACAGAAAGCTTTTTTACACACTAAAAAAAGCCACAGGTAGAAAATAAATATTTGCACTAGCAGAAAAAGAAACAAATCACTTTGTTCCTTGGAGCACTTTTTGTCTAATAAAAAACAGCATGACACAATAGTTCACAAAACTAGATAAATGACTTTTGAAACATATCTACTTAATTTACTCAGTCTCTACTGCCAGTACAAAAAAGTTAAATATTGTTATACCTGAAATCACCTGGCCTGTTGCCCTCTCCAACATTCCCAACAAGTATGTGAAGCAGGGAAATGCAATTGCTTGTGCATTACAAATGTAAAAACAATTCAATTGCCAAACAGCCCACAGAACCACTGCAGAGCTGGGATATCTGGCTACCCTTAGCCCCATCAGCACCTTAGCTAACAGACCAGTTACTCTCAAAAGGACAGTCCATGAAGGCAGCTGAAAAGCGGCTCCTTCATAAATGAAAAATACATGACTTTCACCCAAACATATATAAAGGAAGTCAGCATCACTTCTTAGCTACAAACTGACCTTAAAGTCTGGCACTACCTCAAGGCAGTGAAAAGCCTGTCACCAAGGAGGGTATTTCTAAGCCTTGTAGCTTGAAGGAACAAGGAAGACAATTACTGACCTGACAATCTTGCCAACTTTGAAGCTCCCCAGAGGATCCTCTGTGTAAGTATCATTCAGGTGAAAGATGCTGACTTTGCCTGTCTTCCCACCCGGCAGTGCAATGGTCAAACCAGTGTGTGGAGTCATCTTTATTACCATGCCTACAGAGATGGTACCCTGCTCCAGTGACTGAATTCCTGGAAAAGGTGAAGGAGGAAAAGGGCTTCATAAGGGGCTTGAAAATATGAAGCAACAGAGGTTAGTAAGTGTAGCTGATTTTAGTTGCCTAGTCACATGTCAAACCCACAAGCTTTTGGTAAGGTGCAGTCTATGCAATCTCTGTTCACAGCCATGTTTCCCTTGGTAGCCCAGACAAGGTCCCTTAGTTGCACAATTCCAAGATCCAGAGCAACTGACAAATGTTAATAAATGTACCACCTCATGTCTGAGATTAGAAGGGAATATGTTCAGAAAGGCTCAGAGAAGGGCTTTGGTTTGCACACTAGGAAAGTGATTCTTTATTCTAGAGGTCTGACCTCACTTGTCCTAGATGCTGCTACATCTAGGTCAGGGTCCCAGGAGTTAGTTCTGTTCTACAGGGAGGTACAGCTTGACTCTGGAGTGTAACATCTTCACCTGAGGGGTCAATGCAGGCCCAACTCTGAATAAAGCATCGCATGTGATGGGGTCCAGCTGTTTGGGCTCCACAATACCTGTGAGTGACAAGCAGAGGTTTGTTTCGCTGGCATCTGTTCCAGTCACTGTAGCTGATATTGCCTGGCCATTTTTAAAGGTCTTTTCTGGATGCTTCAAGACCTGAAATAGAAACACGTTTACACTTATTTCCAGAAAAGGAGCTTTGCACAACTCTGACTAGTGTTTCCCCTATGAACCTTTACACTTTCTATAAATATCTTTGATGTGCAGTTGACTGATAGCTCAGCACTGCCTCAAATGCTCTGCTATCCTGAGCCAAATGAGCTCAAGGCAGAGTACTTGCTAGTTAGCAAGGGGCAGCAATGCCTAAAGGGCCGAGCACTGGGTTATGGGTTCACACAAATGCAGAAGTATCTGCAGTCATTACTTGTGGCCAAGCATATTGAAAAAAAAAGTCTGTGTGGCTCACAGTAACAGCCTCTTACCTTGGTGTTCAGAGACAGCAGCAGGTGAGGAACTCTTCCTCGAATGTTGGGGGCAACTTCTACCTCCAGCCAATTTTTGAGCATGTTATACTAAAAAGACACCAAATAACCAGAGAAGACAGCATGACACCTTGGGGAAAAAAAAATCTTCCCTGACAGAAATTTCACAATAATTTTTAAGGCTAAAAAGAACTAACCCAGCCTTGGCCTCTGCACCAAGTAAAAATGGTGGTTGGATTCTGTTCTTACAAGCATAACACTGCTGTGATTCACAGGCAAGTGCACACAGGGGATCAGCAGCGAGTGTACTTTGTGCTGGTGGCATACTCAAGGCCATTTTACTAGAGCCTGCTGGCAACAAACAGGCATGTCAAAGAGAACAAGACAGCCTTACTCCATCAAAAAATTTTCGTTTCCTTCCTCTGCTTTCCCCGTAAGACACTGCAGTTGCCATGGGCCATTAACTCTCCATTTACTCTGACAGTTAATGAAGACCATAGTCTTCAGTACCCACTTGCTGCCTCCCTCAGCACACTTCCTAAGAAGACTCTGACCTCACCTTCTTTACAAAACAGGTGACTGTCTGCCCAACATTGTAGAGTTCCTTGAGGGAATTTTCTTCGTTAAGGTTCAGCATTGCTGTGAATTCCCCTTCTTTTTCACTGTTTGCAAAAGAAGAGGACATTAGTAAAACAGTTTAGGTCCTAATGATAAAGATGGAAGTTAGAAACCAAGGGGAATATAGTACTAGTGGAGCTAGTACACTGTGTCTTTCACCCCTCCCCAGCTGCATTTTTTCTGCCAGGAATTAATTCTTCCCTGATCATAAGAGGAAATCTTTTTGACAGGAATAGACATGACAGAGTCCAGACTGGCAGAACCTGAAGCCAAAAGGACATTCAAAGGAAATCATATGCTAGGAGAGCACTGATATTTAACACAGCTACAGGACCCAAGTTAGTGTGAAAGAGAGAGTAAGAGGCCTTGCCTGACTGCATACATGTGGAGGCCCTTGCTCATGGCCAGCTCCTCCATGAATGAGAGGTACAAGCAATGGGACATCCAAGGATACAAGGTCTGTAAAGCATGTGGAGACGGCACAGAGGCCAACACTTACCTTGGTCGAATGCTGAGCTCTGGAATGGACTGTGTGAAGTGTGGATGGGTGATTGGCAGGCACCTAAAGAAGAGGAAAAGGATCCAAGTTTCTCATGATCTCCCCAGGCCCCAGTCATCCACATGTAATGCCTCTGCACTGGCAAAAAAAACCCAGGAGCAAGCCCTCTAAAACTACCAGAGCCTTCCAGTTCCAGCTCTTCCTATTACTATTTCAGTAGCAATTTAGGGAACCAAAATACCCCAGCAAATTTAGTCCCCGGGGCCTGAATTTAGGGCTTCCACTGGATGAGTTTAGACATCTTTTTTTCTTGCAATCTATACTCAAAATCAATACAGTGACACAGGCAGAAAGCTGTTTATATATATAATAGCTGATTTCCACAGGTCTCAACTACTCCAGCAAAGGCAGCTGTAACAGCATCTGTTGACAGAGGGCCTAGATGTCCTGAATTGACACACAAACTGTTTCATCCTTTGCATCCCTCCAGAAGCAATATCATGTATAAGTTTTCCCACCTGTGAGTATTCACATCTCTGCCTCCAATGACTCGAGCAGTCACTTTCTGTCCAGTTTTCAGAGTAGAAGTTGGAAAAGAGCCTATGGGCACTTCATCCAGAATCCGGGATGCATGGATTGAACCTGTCAGCTTGTCATCAATAGCAACAGTGACGTGGGTTGGTTTGACAGATTTAATGGTACCAGTAACAGTGTCCCCCGGGGAGAGTGAGTGTTTCACAGCAGGAAGCATCTCCTCCAGTGCTGTCTCCGACTCGTTCCTCACCCTTACAAAAACATTCTTCTTGGCTGGGCCTTGTACTGCTAACAAGACTCCGTGGTGGTTCTCCTTCGCTGCTTTTAAGGTCACAGAGATTGTCTGTCCCACCCTCAGTTTTTCTGAGTCGAAGCGGAAGGTGTCGTTGAAGTGGCAGGCGATGGGGACAGCTGCCAGCTGGGCTGTTTCCAGCAGAGACACGATGGCAAAGTGCTCTGTGATGTGCTGCACCACCGCAGAGTGCTGGGAGTTCTCTCGGAGCCGCTAGACAGAAATGGACAGACAGAGTGACTTCTCCTGCTGAGATCTCGATTCCCTCCACTCTACCTCCCACAGTTCTAAGAGGAAACAGCCTCCCTTGAAATTTATTCATCACCTACAGTTCTGCAGGACAAGCAGAAACACACAGACCCAAAAACTGAATGCATACTCACTCGCTTGGGTCTTTGCTTTAGCAGTTCTTCCCGAAGAGAAACATACACCTCAGCTGTGAGGGCATCCACATGAAGAACCAATGCCTTCCTTTTCTCACCAGGAGCAATTTTTTTGTCTACAGGTAAGAATAAGGAGATTATGTCCTGATGACAATGAAGAATTCTGAGTTGTGACAGTGGTACGTGACAAACACGAAAGGTTTAATTCCTGAAGACCAAAGACTGCTTAATTACTATTGTACCTGAACCAAATTAGCACCAAACATATAACAAGAACAGATTCTTCAAACATTACTGGAAATGAGAATAAAAAAAAAAGCTTCGTATTTGGAAAAAGTTTGATCTTTCTTGGAAAAACTAACTTGATTTTATGAAGACACAACTCTTAAATAATGAAGACAAGGCTGACTAAAGACAAGGTCAAGATAATATAGGTTTTGAAAAAGATCTTCCTAACATTTGCACAAAACTATCATCAGTGTATCTGTTGCTAAAGGAAAAAAAAAACTCTTCTGACACAGAAGTGTTGGGGTTATACTTCTGCTGAAATTAGAGGTTTATCCTGCTTGGTTTATTCATTATTTCAGCAAGTATATGTTTGGTTTTGCATAATATGACACCTTTCTTCAATTTTTTAATTATGTTTTTGATTTAAAGTCATTGATTTTTCAAGAAAAATGGACAAATTTCAGATGGATATTCCTTGGAGTATGCTCTTTCTAAAGGAAGAAGAAAAAAAAAAGAAAGCTGGAGCTTGTATTCATACTTGTCTATATACAATATGGTTCTACTAAGGATCTTTGAGAACAAATTAGATGCCTAAAATATGAGACAAACTTAACAAGGCACAGAGAGGTTTACATCATATTTTCTGAATCACACAAGTGGGCCAGCAAGACATTGGGAAACTTAACTACTTTTCAAGGCCATCCCTACTCTGATCAGACTTCTCCCTAATAGTTCCTCATCAGCAGAATCCATTTTGGGAGAGGTTTCAAAGTACAAGACTGAAAACCAGCACAAGCAAAGGAAAGGCCCTCACCTCCCAAATGGTGGCGGGTGGCAGTTACAGTCCAACCTGTGGCAGAACTGCCACTGAACAGTGCTGAGCCATCCTCCCTCACATCCTGCACGACCAGATGCAGCCTCTTCCCAGGCACCAACTCACAAATGCTAGGCTTTCCTAAATAAAGGGGAAAAAAGTGGGAAATCAGTTTTACTTATGTTGTTTCTTTGCAAAACAAAGACCAACTTTCGCATTTACTCAGTGGTACATGAAGCATTCATCTGCCCTCATAAGGGAAAACAAAGCCTAGGCTCCTGAATTTGTAGAAATACAAAGTAAATTCTAAGAGTTAATCAAAGTAGAAACCCTTCTGTGACACTAAGGACCTAATTTTAGAGAGAATATTTTCCAATCTTATAGAAACACTGGCACCCAACATTGCATATGGAAAAAAGTGAAAGTAAAATAGATTAACACTAGAAGAACAAACAGACCTGTCACTTCACAATTACAGGAAACAAACATGAAAAAGTACCAGATATAGGAAGAATCTAAAAAGACAAAGTCAGAATTTGATAAAAACACTAGAAAAACAGCATGTGAGAGAACCTCTGCTGAAGGACCTGTAAATGCATGTAGGTAAATCTATTTGAACAAACTCGTCCTCATGTGAGTACTGTGTCTGTGTTACCACAAGCACTTGACCTAAAATCAATGCAAGAGGCTTAGCAGACTTCAATGAAAAGAGCAGTTTCTTTGGCTTGTTCCAGCTGTACTTGCAAAAAGCCTCTTGTCAATGCAAGACACTGCACACACATCCTTTTTATAATAAGCTGCTTTGGGAAGTGAAGTCTGCTTGAACTAAACTTTCTTTCACTTAAATGTTTTTCTTTTCTTGTTCCTCTAGAGCACTTTTTTTTTCTACCTGGCACCCTTTAACAGAACATTTACAATCTTTTACCTCTTTTCAACAGGTCCCTGATTTCTTTCAGCTCCTTGAAATATTGATTCAGGAGGGCAAAGCTCTCTGCAGCAGAATCTCCTGAGCTGCACTCAGACACCTTCAGATTGAGAAGCACACGCTGCTTCTCCTCATCAATGCTCATCACCTTTGCAATCACAGTCTGTCCCACCACAAAGTGGTCCTTGGTATCTGTCACAAACTTGTCACTCATGCTCTGTGCAAAGGAAACAGAGGGCAAGGTTACTGAGCACAGCTGGTACTGATCTACCACCCACAGAGCTGTTCAGAAGGGTTTGAATTACAACTTCATGTAAATGCATAACAGAAATTAACAAACTCTAAGAAAAACCCATCAATTAAAATGAATTATTGAGGTCAAATGAAATCCTTGTTGAAGCTTAAGCTCACTTGAATGAAGTGCTTCATTTTATTTTAGAAGTGATTTAAAAGGCAAATCTAAACCCTTTTACCCTGCAGCAGGAAGCTGTGCAAACGCAGGGCCTGGAGCCCAGCTGCTCCCTCCTGTGATTATACCTTTGCTAAAACTATGTTTCAAGCAGCTTGATCACATACATGCTGCTTACTGAAGTGGAGGCATTGCTTACCACTTTAGGTGCCAGTCCTGTCACACCAAAAGGGAACTCCACAAACACTCCAAAGGGCATCACATTCCTCACATAACCAGTCAACAGCATGCCAGGCTGGATTTCAGAGAAACTTCTCACAACTTGCTCCTCCTGTACAGCAGAAATCACTGCAGACTTTCTACTCAAGATCTGAACAACCAGTTAAGAAAAATGGGAAAAGATGAATGAAAGCAGCACGATGCCAAACAAATCTCTCAGTGCTGCTAACCCTTGGGCTAAAGCACTTGCTGCAAGTTAGAGAGCACAGGAGCTCTAAATGCTGTAATTCCAATTCCTGTCTTGATCTTCCCACATAAAAATTTAGCAACTCATGTCTCTTAAACTGCCCGGCATTAAAGATACATGCTTCACAGTAGGAAAACAACAACTTCCTAACAACTCAGTTCAGAATTTTGATATAAAAACAGCAAAATTTTTCTTAAGGTTGTGATAGGTTTAACAGCCCAGAAACTGGTTGAGAAAACAAGCCAGCTCACAACCTAGTTCTGAAGAGATTCTAGCCCCAGCTGAGCCTCACTTCTAGCACAAGTTATAATGCCTCTTGGAAGTATCATTAGCATGACAGGCACTTCCACTTCACACCAACTACAGTAACCTTATCTTTGTTGCAGATACTTTGGAATCCTGAGAGATACCCCCTTCCCCACACCTTGTTTGCCTGGTTGAGGTGGCAAAGGATACAATGTGCTCTCCCTTGTTACTTAGATACATAACTCTGGGCAGGACATCTCCCTCTTGAAGACCCTGCCACAGGAGCTTGGAGGTAGCAACAAAGTCAGAGAGGTGCAATGTAGGGATCCAGGCTACCACATTGTCTTCATCTTCTAAGATGGAAACTTCTAACCCATTATCTTTCTTCTGGGAGATTTTCACATCAACTATCTGAAAAGAGAACAAGTACAGCAATATAAAATTCCAAGTGTTTTTGAATCGTCTCTTTTGATGCACAGGGGATGTGATGTGCTGCAGGGGATCTGATGTTGCCTCCCAGCTACACAGTATCTTGATCACTGTCAGATTTGTCGAAGCAAAGTTGTTCAAAGTGATACCAAATCATATGGAAAATTAGTAGGAAAAGGCTGAAAAGGAATCAGCCATTGAATTCAATACCTCTCCTATTTGGTATTTTACTTCCTGTTTCTCCTTTGGAGTACATTTCCATTTGTCCTCAGGGCCAGGCTTGCTTGGTAATCTGAAGGACAACAAGAGTCTTTCCTGCTGAGGCTCACATTTTAAGACCATTACTTTAAGAACCTGTAGAAAAAAAAAAGTATAAAACAAAGTTAAGTTCAGCTGACCCTCCTCCTCAGTTTGCTACTACCTACAAAACAAGACAGGGACATACATACACAGTGCACTTTTCTCCCATACCTGAGGACAACAGGCCAATGGCTAGAACTTAACAGGTTCAACCACAGACAAATGGCCTTCTGATCATATCGATGGAAAATAGAAGTACATAACCATTAAATGAGCTTGTGAAAATATGTAGCAAGTCTGTAGCAGAGTTGAGAATAAAATCCAGATCTCCAGTCAGAAATTCTGACTAGAACATTACCTTTCTCCTAAGCCAGCCAACAAATAACAGGATAAAAGACAAAGAAAAGCACCAGAAAAAATAATGAAGATGGTTGAGATCTATGTAACTTCACCCACAGCAAAAACCAGAACTGTGAATAGCACAGCAGTTCCTAAAGTGCCCTGTAATTTGAAATCAACAGGATAACCACAATAACACAGAGGCAGAAAACATCATCCTTATGATTCTGTAGGTAAGAGTTTTAACTTCTTAGGAGAAACAGCAGCCTTGAACTCCATACTTCTACTGAGATCTAAGTCACCTACGATGTGACTGTGTTCTCCTGCAGAACAGAGAGAGCCTACAAACAAAGGCAAGTCAGACATACCCAAAGAGCTGCCCTTTTTACAGCCTACCCTGTTTAAATGAGCACAGCTAAGTAATAAAGTGAAAAGACATAAATATCTCCTGGTGGAGCTGGTTCCTCAGGAAAACCCACATTGAAACCAACCAACTCAACTCCAAATTTCCCTTTCACATTCAAACACATGGCAGAGATACATTGATTACCTGGCCTTCATAGAAGACTTTATCTGGACAAGATATGGGTTCTGAGCCCAGCTCATTCTTGGGTACCAGACCTTTGACATCATTGTAGAACTTCACAATGCAGCCAAACTCCCTTGCACACACTACAAAACCATGTGTGATCAGGCCTGGTTTTGCATCTTCATAATTTGAGATGACTGGAAGCTTTGATTGGACAAGACTTTTCTTCAGAGTAAGGATCAGCTTCTTTCCTTCAGGATTGCACTCTAGCACCTACAAGAACGGAGTACAGAGGTTAAAAAAGCATGTCTGCCCTTGTCTGATCAATCCAGCTGCTAAATACTCAGAAGAGAAGAGTACAAAGCAGCTGAAGACCCTGTTTGGCAGCTCTCACCCGACACTTGACTTCATCTCCTATGTTGTACTTCTTCTCAGGCTGCTTCAGGATCACATCAGAGAGATGGAGGGATGGCACAAGTCCTCTAATCCCATCAGCCACTTTCACCTGCATCCCAACGGGTTTTAGAGAGAGCACTTTGCCCTACAACCCAAAACAGGGGAAAGAATGGGTAAGCTCAGCGTGAAAAGCAGACTGGTCAGGTAGGAAACAGCCAAGACACTGCAACACCTACAATCACCAAATCTAACCACACTCAAAAAAAAAAAGTAATCTTAGACCAAATTACACTTCGCCCAACTAATCTGACCCGTTAACATTGACATACTTCATAAGGTTGTTGTACGACCTCTTTTCTTTAAGCATAGATTACTTCTTCAAAATCCCTATTGATGCCAGCAAACTAGAATTGTTTCCAGAGACATATCTAATACAGCCATGACTCAGACATAACAATCATAATGAATAATTTTCTGCCCATCAGCTCATTGTGATTGTTCATACATGAAGGCAAGTTTTAGTTTCTTTCACTCAAGTCTTTCTAAAAATGTATTCATGGCCACAAAAAATGACTGACCATCGATAAAATCTGATTGCCTTAGCCATATAATGAATAAAATCGAACAAAATGGGAAGAGTATTGCATTCCATGAATCAAGTCCTGAAAGACAAGGTTTTTCTCATTTTCATCTCACTAGTCTGGATCAGAAGTTGGACACACATATTAGGCAAAAGGAGTACATACTGGTAAAATCACTGTTTTAAGTATAACATGCTCGAGTCCTTCAGAAGCTCACCTGCACCACATCACCTGTGTGGATATCCTGGTATTGCAGAAACCGTGCTTCAATGACCTGACTAGAGAAGAGACACAAAGAGAAGACCAGTCAGTCCTCTTGAAGGAAATCCAGGATAAGACAAGACAGTCTCATCTCTGACTTGTCCCAAATATCCATTATTCCACACACTCCCCAGTGTTCTACAACTCCAGAACTGTGTTTTACTCCAACTGACCAATCTCCCAAAACAGCTCTTAGGACTTAAAGTTCAGGGAGTTTCACCAGGCTCTATTCCAGGTGATAGTCACACAGTTATGGCCTCATGAAAAGAGAACCCATTATCTGCTTTGAATAAAGTCACAAAATATAAGAGGGACTTTATAATACAAATGAGCTGCAAGATCAAGGCTCAATTTCCTGCCGAGCCATGGTCTTCTGACACAATCATGGCAGAACCAATTTAGCCTCCTCGTGCCTTAGCTCACCAACAATATTGATGGTGTCCCAATTCCACAGAGGATGGGGAATACCTGCAGGATCCCCATACAACCTGATGTGCCACAACATAGATGCAAGTCAAAAACACCAAATGGCAAGTTCCAGTCCAGCAAAGCAATAAAATATTTTCCACTCTCAAACACCTTTCTAATTCTTCAATCAGTTTTCTGGAAGAGTCTATCATACTCACTGCTTCAGAGAGACAATACACATCTCATCCATCAGGCTGTAGTCAATGATCCGACATTTATGTTTGCAACCTTCCTTAAATGCCCCAATTTTAAAGGATTTTCTGGTTTTTGAAAGATGACTCAACTAGAAAAAAAGGAGTTACCAGTGAGCGTTTGGAAAGTGGAAGCACTGATATGCACCTTCGGTTGAAGGGGTAGCATCTGACAAATCTGTTCCTCTAATATTCTCTTTGTGCAGGTTTCACCAGCTCTTCCACAACAACCCTCCAACATTTCAATTCAAACACGGGGACGTATCATTTGACAAACACCTCGCATGCTGTCTTAATTTTATAGTATTGTCTCACAAAGAGGACAAAGGCAAAAAAATAAAACCCTCTCCTAGCCCCCTTTCCCAGCAGGCTAAGATAGATATGGAGGACTTCCCCTGCCAGCCTGGCACTTACCCGTGCAAATGCAAGAGTGCCATCATCAAGTTCAAAGACAGCCCCAAACTGTTTGTAGAAGGCTTTCACCGTGGCCTCCTCCAGCACTGCCCCCATGCGCTGCCCGGGGAGCTGGCGTGGGGCTCCCCCGGCGTGCAGGAAGGGCGGGAGCAGCGTGAGCCGCACTGCCCTCGACGTGGGGTGGACAGACAGCACACAGGCCTTCACCTGGGAACACAGTGTGCTCGTTAGACAAAAGAGGACAAAGGCATCTCACTCATGCTCGTAGACATTCTGCTTGGTACCTGAACTCTCTGTCCATGTACAAACATTTTCTAGTATTGCTACTAAGACATCACTCACTTCTAACAGCTTCACCAAGGAGAGATTTTTGCTTTTGTCTGTTGTTTACAGACTAGGCTGGTATGAATGCAGGGCAGGGAACATGACCACACAAGTTACGTTTCTATCTCTTGCAAATCTCCAGGCTTCCCAAATTAGTCTTCCAGGAATGGCTTTTCTTGCTTTAAAGCAGCCACAATAGTAATTCAAGTAAAAGATATTAAAGAAGCTATCAGCCTTAAGATTTCAGAGATAATTCCACAGAAATGTTGGAGAAGATAAGAGAGGTTGTAAGCAACATAACTCTAGGCATCCTCCACCCTCCTTACCACTTGATCTGGAGAATAGCTCATGGATTTTTCTGGGTCCATGTGCATGAAATCCACAATGCCAGTGAAGTAAGACAGAAATGTCAGTTTCATCCCAAGTGGGACCACCTAGGAAGGGGAACGAAAAGGTGTCAAAAAATTTCTGCACTTTGTTTTCATGCAGAACAGAGCAATTCACACATTTCTAAAAACAGCACTGTCACCATTAATCAACAAGTACATCACAAAAGACAGAAAAACTGCTAACAGTTCAGATTTGCACATTCTGCTGAAAAAACAATTCTTTAGTTTTTTGATAATGCTGTGTGTACTCTGAAGATTACTGCTATCCTGTTGAATACTTCAGCAGTCAAGGCCAGAAAGCACAAAATGAATCATGTTCTGCAACAAACTCCATCACCAGCTTCAGTCTGAAGCATTTATACTCAGGGCATCACAACCAGAACTGAGATCAGACCTCAGGTAAATGCAGTGGAAGAGACTGTCTAGCAGATTATGTTTGCTACTGCTAAGTAATTGAGACCAACCAGAAATTTTCCAGGGCATAAACTCTCATCTCTGCTTCACCTGCCTCCTGCCTTCAACAACGTTCAAAAGAAACCAACCCAACAAAAGAAACCCAAACCAGAGCTTACCTTCTGTACTCGAGCTTTCACCACGAGCCCTGGCAATAAATTAGAGAGTGTCCAGTTCTGTCGCTCTGTGGCAATGGATGCAGCCACCTCAGATCGATCAATGGACAAACAGACCACCCTGCCCTCATTCTTCACTTCCACAACGAGGCAGTTGAGGTTCTGGCCTATTTTCAAATCAGGCCCTACAAAGACAAGTCATAGCATAAAACTTCTACCAGGAACATTTAGTATTTCCTCCCACTTTTTCCAAAGCTTTTACAGAGTCCTCTCTAGATCTAAGTGAAGTTTACTGCCAGTAGGGCTTTGAACACAGTCTGTCAGATCACAGGCTGAAACACAAAGGCTTGTTGCAGACCAGCCACAAAACTGCTGTTTGCAGTTACCTGCAAAGACTCCACCCTTGACCCAACCCCACCAAGGTGTACTAACACCACAGATATAATAAACTTTAATCCATTTTAACCCCTCAGATCCTCCTGCAATACTTCTTACCTTTCTTGAGTGCTTTGATGTAAGTTTTGGCTTTCTGATGAGGCAGGAAAGCATGAGTTCCAGTGACACCAATATCTATGAGGTAGCCATGGTCTTCCACACTCATCACAGAGCCAGAGAGCAGCTGTTGGGAGGAAAGCATTGCAACTCAGTAATATAATGAAACACCTAGGTCTTCAAAGAACTAATGCATGATAAGAGATTCCCCACCTAAGTACTTCCTTGTTTTGTATGGACAGAGAACTGAGCTTTTCAGAGCAGTAGCAAGAACACTACATTCTTTCTCATTACACAGCTCACCTAGCAGTGAGGTCTTAACTCTACCTTTATCCAGTTATGAACATAAGGAACTCAAAACCAGCAGGAAAAGAACTGTGATGCTCAAAAATAGCAGGTGTAAACAATGATACAGCTGAAAAGACAAAACATAATCAACCAAGCACCTCTGCAAGCCATGTTATATATTACTCTCTCTGTAAAAATTAACTAAGAAATCTACTCAGAAAGAAATAATTAAATAACTTGTCCATATTGAAACACAATAAAGTGAATTAATTTCATAAATTACAATCTGGAGACAAGATCACAGGTCTCTTCCATGGTGGGAGCAGCTCCACATACTGTTCTGATCCCACGTAAGGACAAACTAAAATGCAAGAGCTCAGACAGGCTGTAACAGACCCAGAAAACTTACCATGCCTGCTGCTAGTGCTGTAGAGTTCAGGCCTTTGTTGACTTTCTTGGGGTCAATCGATAACTTGACACTGCGACGTCCATCATCACTTTTCTCAATGCTGGTCACGATGCACCTGACCAGTGTCCCTGGAGAAAACATGTCTGGGAGGGAATTCAACTCCTGCCCAGCAACATGATCAACAGAGAAACATACAATTTTTACAATATTAAGTAATATAAGGCTAGAATTTGTTACTGCAGCATATTTTGAAAAGAAAATCCCATAGGAAAGTCCTGTTTCTCTGTCAACACTACAGTAACAGGCAGGAAATGCCACAAACACCAGTATCTCAATAGAGAGGCAGGGATGACACTATGTCATGTCAGCAAAACTGAGAGGCTTTGCTTCAAAACACGTTGTGGGCTGGAGTCAGGACACTGCAGCTAAGGAAACATCTACAGAGCCAACAGTGACCCTAACCTAGCCTCTCCCTTCAGCACGGTAAAACACCACCAGCAAAGGGGTAGTGCTAATCCCACATTCTGCAACATCTTGGGAAAACTTAGGCACCACAGCCACCAGAGAGGCAGGGTAACTGATTATTTCATTTTGTTTTTTTTCTAGCAGTCAGCTGTTACCAGGAAATTGCAAAGCTTGCTTGGAAAACTCAGTTCCAAACCAAGGTTAGGTAATGTCCAGCTCCTAAGCAAGACCTCAGGGCTGGTTCTGAGGTACTAACAACACTCTCTAGCTGCAAGCACAAATCACAGCCCCAGTCCCAGGCCTCACCTCCAGGAGTTCTCCTTGGGCCACCTGCTTGGTCAGCAGTTTGCCATAGGCATCGCTGATCTGCGTGACCGGCACAAATCCAGAGAGGCCGTTGGGCAAACTGATGGTGAGCTCGTAGTCACTGACTTCTTTTATACAGCCAAGGAGCAGCATCCCCTCACTGAGCACCTAGGAAAGCAGGAAAAACAGCTTTCTATGGATATCTTGGCAAGTCAGTGATAACAGGGGATAAGCAGTTAAGTTTTGTACTGGATCACAGATATATCTGGCAGGTTTAGGGAGGAAAAACATGCATTTTTATGTATCCCCAGAAAGAGAGGCACACAAAATCAAACATTTATGCACTAACCTCAATTGTGAGTGGTCCAATATTCATAACATTGTCTTTAGCAGCAGCTGGTTTGTCTGCCTTGAACTTTTTCTTGCTTTCCTGCTGCTTTCCTTGATCCTTCTGGCTCCTTTTTCTTTTCTGGGATTTTTCTTCATGTTGAACCTAAAGCAGATCACAAGCACAGAAGGTTAAAAAATAAAAGTGGATAAAGAAACAAACTTTGCACTATGGCAGAACTCTGCTGCCATGAATAAAATGCTGATTTGGACAAAAAAAGAGAACCATCTTGCTAACTGTTCTTTGTCTACACATAAGTGTTCCAAGTATCTCCTTTGGGCTGATCATTTATAAAGCTGAACCTTGGGAATGGAAAAGAATGGTGGAAGAGATCTGCACCACACTCTACTCACAGAAAGACCAACTTAGCCTGTATCCAGTAACACCAGGCTCACCATGTAGCATCTTGGGATAAGATGGTTATGGAAAGTTTAAAAGCTACAACCTGATCAATAAGTTGGATTGAACTTTCTCAGTCATCATATTAAAGATGTAATAGATATCATGGATCTTTCAGAGATCAGGAGGATGGTGGATGTCAGCAGATGTCATCCACTACTACATCCAATAAACTACTTTCTGTAGTTTAATGTAGAAGTAACAGGTAGAGAGGGTTGCCCTCAAATTCTGACAGTGGAAGAGCTCTGAGAAGTTAATCAGAACATGCAATTAACGTACATCAAACAAATTGTCCCGTTCTAACTTTGGCTTGGGTGTTTTTCCCTCTGCAGGTTTCTTCTGGATGCCCCCTCGAGGAAAGTTTTCTTCCATGGATGCCATGCTTGCACTGCTCTGGGACAAATGACAAAACAGAAATTAAACATACAGTTATGGTGCTTGTTCCTCACAAATACTGAGGTGACATAAGAGTGAACTATCCACAAAATAAGAAAGACTTTGGATGGCTGCTCTAATTAGTCAGTGATAAAACAGAAACTCACATCCTAATGGATTTAAGATTTGACTACAATGAAGCGTTGTAATGGTCCATCTAAATATGCACATCCATAACACTTTTCATGACTGCACAGTTCCACTGAAGTATTACACTATTAATTTTTTAAGTCACTGAGATACACCACATATATATTCATAAAATTGCTTTAACTGTATTGTTTCCTAAACCAGTCTTTATTATATTCAGTGGCTGAATTTACCAGCTTCAGTTATCAAGGAGAAAGCTGTGAGCAAAACACTACATAAGTTTGGCCTGTATTTTTACTTTTTGAATGCTATTTATGAATTCATTATTTATGATTAATATAACTTGCTACCTCTTTGTCTAAACCATAAGTACATGTACATAAAATAGGTGTTTAACCTTACTATTTCAATCAATAAACAACACCTTGCTTATTAAGCCACAATTCACTTGTTACTATTACTAATAAATAATAATAAATAAAAGTAGTTGTTGGTACTATATTATTATTGCGCTTACACCATTACTTATACCATTGCTTATTATCAGCCAACAGTACTTCTACAAAAAATAGCGCTGAACCCTATGTTGTCAAACTTGAGGCAACCTATCAGACATACAAAACTTCTTTAAATGGGAAGCACATGATAAAGCGAAAGCTCGTCAAGGTACGCTTCACCTCAGAGCTCGCTAGAGAACACAGACACCTTCCACGGCCGCCAACCGAACCGGCCCTGCTGGAGCGGGCAGGGCTGGCGTCTTACCTGCCTGGGGCCGCTGCCAGCGGGAAGTGCAGGATCGGGAGCGTTCCCGGGATGGGGACCGGGATGGGGACTGGGATGGGGACCGGGATGGTTCCGTCAGCGGGAGGCGCACGCGGCGCCGGGCGGAAGCGGCGCGCGGGGCGGAGGGCAAAGGGCGGCCGGAAGTGACGGAGCCGCGCCTCAGCCACACAGAGAGGAGGGGGCGGGGCCAGGCCGCTCCCCGGGGGTCGCAGCCAATCGGTGCGCTCGGGGGCTGCGCGCGGCGCCCGTGGCCGCCATCTTGTGGGAGGGCAGAGACGAAGGGCAGAGCGCGGCTGGGACGGCAGCGGCCGAGGTACGGCTGGGCGGCCCGGGTGGGGTCGGGTCCTGGGCCGGAGTCGGGTCTTGTTCCTGTCGGGTGGGAGACCTTCAGCTGCGGCGCCGCTCCCTCCGAATCCTAGGTGCTGCCGCGTTCCTTCTCCGGCCTGACGCGAGCGCGGGGTCGCGAGTGTAGCCGGGCAAGGGCACCGGGCTCCTCCGGAGAACTGGACTTGTGTTGTCACGGGTTGCCTTCCCGTCCTCCAAAGGGCGCCTCGGCTCTTGCCCAGGCTTGTGCATCAGTTAGGCACGAGAAAACATGACCTTGGCTTCTCAAGTCTTTGACAATAGTGTGTAGCAAACGCTTAAAGGGGGTGTTTCATTAAGCTTTTTAACTATTGCACAGTCAGCTGAGCTAACGCTTTACCTGTTAATAGGCCAGAGATAACGGATTGGGTTAGAGAAGAGATAGATGACACGGGAGCTGTGTTAGTGACACCAGCACCTGGGGTGCAGTTTGGTGTGTGTAGGGCTGGGGAACTGTGTCGGGTGTGGGGTGCCTTTGGGGGGAGGCGGAAGAAAAGCAGCAAATATTTGTCCTAAACATAACATCCTCTTCAGAAAAATATATCTCTAAACATTAAAAAAGCACTCTGCTTTCATTATGCGGTGAACCCTTTATTTGCTTATCTGTTCCTATCACCTGTTTTGTTCCTCAAGAGAGAATGCTCTGGATAGCCACTACTTGTGAAATGTCCTGAAAGCAATTTTAGAAGTAGACAATGGAATGATGAAGCTCAGTGTAGAAATCAGTTTGATTTTCCTATTGATCCTGTCCAAGTGACTAAATCAATTAACTGTCATGTACTGTTTGTTAGGACAAGCAGCCATGGCTGGCCATGACTCGGGATCTCAACACCAGTTCACTGGATTTCAGAAGTACTTCAATTCCTATACCATCATAGGCAGGAGGAATGTATGTATTATGTTCTTTGTTTTGTAGTCTTGTACAATGGCATTTTCTGGGGCTCAGACTGAAACTAAATTTAACTTTTCTGTTTTCCAGTATGTAATAGCAACATACACAGGTGTTGCACTCCTTATCTTGTATTTCAAGTTTAGGCCTAAGAAGCAAACTCCTGCTGTGACAGATAAGTAAAAGGTAAGCAGCTGATGTTCCTCCACGACTAAAATGCTTCAGGTGCCAAGTTAGGAAGTGGTGACAAAGGACTAGCTGCCAACAATACAGTGTAATGAGAGATAAACACAGGCACATGGACTTCCTATTTATCATTTTAAACCTCAGACTATAGTATCAACTTCTTTGGGGGCATTCTGAATGAAGTGGGTTATTAAAGGGAGTGCAGAAAGTATGGGATACAGTATTCTTGTTCTTCTGACATGGTAAATAGGACTAGGGATGGGATGCAGGGAGGGAGGAACAGAAGGATGTTGCAGCAAGATACATCAAGTTTTGTCTACAAATATTGGGTGCCTCTGCTCTGCCCTTTTGCTGTAAAATAAGGATAACCTGCTTTGTTGGTTACTGAAATAATGAAGTAGTACTTAAGGACTTATTTCTTGACTGTATTAGAATTCTAAGTAGAATTAATGCAGTCTGTTAAAACCTTCATTTCAACAGAGTGAAGGAGCACCATATGATGGAACTCTGTATGTTGCACACATGATTATTCAAAGCCCATGCAGAAGTGACTGGACTTGTATGGCAACAACCAAGTGTTATAAAATTTTGGAGTCACTTTCAAATAGCGAATTTTCACTGAAATGGCATTTTGGCAAAATTTATGGGCTGTCATCATAGCCTGAAGAAAAGAGTATAAAACAATAAGCTTTAGCATTGTTGTTGTGTGTTAAGGGGACATCAGTCACTTCTTCCTGGGTGTGCTAAAATCTGGCTGCTTGTAGCTAAAATAGTTTGGGCTTAGGGCAGGGGGATGCTCAGTTAACATTGTGTAAGAATTGCTATGTTTGACCTTTCTTCTCTTGGCAGGTTCCTCGCATGTTTGAACCTCCAATCTGTGTCAATGTAATGCAAGCTGATGAGCTCTTGTGGCTAACAAAATATAAATAATTACTTGTTTTATTGGAAATATGAAATAATCAAAAAAAGCTAAACCGTGGTACTTCTCATTTTTTCTCCTTTGTCAAAAATAGTTGCTTGTAGCAGAGGTGGAGCATCTGATTGTGTCATTACTATCTTAACTCTGCTGCTGTTGTAACACATCCTGAGGTGTTCTGAGCACCAGGCAGTAACCTAGGAAGGACCTCAGCTGCACGGCCATAACACTGCACAGAGCCTGGAGCTGGTCCAAGCATCTCCACATGTCTGTGTCACAGCTTGCATGGTTTGCAGCCACCTGGTTGCTCCCACTTTTTGCATTCCATGCTAGTAGCTTACATGGAAACCATGACATTTTCTGCCTCAGTTGTCTGTATTTTGCACAGAACCTCTTTGGTTTTGATGGAAAACCTCTGAAAAGAGGCTGACCCAGTTATGGTATTTCAACTTTTTCTGTGACTGACTTCTCTTGCAGAGGGAAGGAAAATGGCTTAGCCTGCTGATGTTAAGCTCCTGTAACTCTGCACATTCATAAACAGTGACCCAAATAGTCCAGTGCCTACTCTTCCTGTCTCTTCTGAAAGGAGGTGCTCTACCACAGTTAGGTGTGTGCAGCCTCCTTCCAGCACTAAAATCTATCACACTCTCCACAGTGTCTTTCCGTGGCTCAATTAAGACCTGGTACATTCCCTAGATGTCGCAGTAGTGCTGATGTGGGAGATGATATTACACTTCTGCCAGCAGCAGGGGTTGAACCATGCTAAAGTGTGCAAATACCCTTCCCAAACTGAGGACAGCAGGAAGTAGGAATTACTCCTGGAGAAAATGGAAAAATTAATTACAGGGTCTTGATGCTCTCTCTACTTCATTTTTTCTTAAAGCCATTTTTGTGCATGCTGGGCCTCAACAAATCTGATCATCTTTGCCTCCTGAGTGTTTGCATACATGGCTTCAGCTGTACTCAATTCCCCCACTAAAGAATGGTGGCTGTAAGAGTGTAATAGTATCAGGAGCTACAACCTGTTGCCTTCCTTTAGAACAAGATTTCCAGGGAATGGCTACTCAACCTAAACATTTCTGATTACTTTGTTTCTCTTAGCAGAGTTGTCACAGTTACAAACTGCTCTCACTTCCTTTGCAGCCATTAAGGGAGGTAAATATCTTCTTGTAACATATAGACACGAACTATGTGGTTTTAGTATTTATTATAATATCAAAAGTATAAAACTGTACAAAATACAAAGGCAGAATGTGGCAGTGTTTTCTTTAAGCTGTCAAAAGTTGTACTTAAATCTAACTGGTCATATTGAGAGCTAGGAAATTTTGTTGAGGTATCATTACACACAAAAAAAAAATCAAAATAATTTTTATCCTTTTTTCTTTGAAGAAACTGTCTAGGTGATCTTTCTAGTGAATCTTCCAGACCTTATTTTGATGTATAATGCCTGTAATATAGTTTTACTCTAAGAGTAAGACGAGATGAAAGAGGAGGTAGTTCTCCATTTACTTGACCTTAGAAATGACAAGTCTTGTTTTTATTTTCAGTAGAGAGCCAGTAGATTGTTCAAGTGTCCAAGTCCTTACTGTGAAGTAATGAGGAACACAAAACAGATTTCTGTGCACAAATCTCATAAGAGATTAAGAACAAAAACCAACCCAAACCCAAGCCACAGTGGACCTGGCTTTGTTTGTGGTGTTTTCGGTTCAAAGACATTTTCCCAGTGTTCTGCATGTTTTACTCTTCTTCAGAAATAAAACACAGCTTTATTGGTAGTCCAGGAGGACTCATTGAGTACAATCTTCTTGTGGATAGGAATAGTCACTCAGCAGATAAGTTGGCCTTTCAAAAGCGAGCTGACCAGGCATTTATCCTTTCATGCTGCTATGTTTCAATTTCATGGCTAGTTTTACTGCTTTTTTATGTTAAACCTTATGCAGAAAGGATACAGGTTATTAATATTCTTTTACATCTAATACAAAGTAAAGGGTTTAAGTCCACTTTTTAAAGAGTGACTATTTCAGTTGTGCCTCAGTTCCCTTTTATAATTTTCTCATACAATAAAGTATGAAAGGAAATAAAGTTCACATTGCACTTCTGGTTGCTTATCACACTGACAGCACTGGCTACCTTTGAAAACAGTAACAAGATCTGTGTTTCTGAGACCTCAAAAGAGCACACGAGTTTGAAATCTTTTCAGGACTTAGTACTTGGCTGCATAAAAACCGTGCACGAAGCTTTGTGGCAGTTCCCCACAAGCATCGGGCTGTCGGGCCCGCTCCGTCAATGCCCTGGTTGTTGCTGTGATCTCACCACGCCTGCTGCCCAGACCAGGCTGCAGTGAATCAAACTACATTCTTCTTTCCTGAAAATGGACAGTTTTTCTTATGTTTGAGACTGATGAAACATTTGCTAACCATAAATTAAGTGCTTTAAAAAAATCTGAGAACACATATAAAGGCTGTTAACTTTTCACAAGTTCCAGCAGAGCTCAGTACCACCTCTGGGAAGAGATGGCTCTTTTCATATGTACATATCTATGCTATCAAAAGCACCACGAACAGTTCCTTCTTTTACAGCCACCCTGTCTTGTCAATCTCCAGCATTTTCAAACTGCAGATAAATATAAAACAGCAGAACTGAGAAACGCTGCTTGCATTAATTACAGTTTCATACTCCTTGCAATGGACTCGTGGGGTCCTTCTGTTCAAGACATTCCCTCTCGTCTCACATCCTGAGGTCACTACTGCAACGACTTGGCACAGTCAGTCTCAGCTTCCTGATCTACTGTGAGCTGTAGGCTCCCGCAGCCAGCAGCAGGTTCCTGCGTGTGAAATGGAGATGAACAACCGGGGTTGATTTGGTCATGTATGTGCCCAGTAGCAAATCCTGTGAATTTTCAGGCAAGTTTATGTGTCCAGTGGCTGTAGTAAAGTCATCAGTTTCTAAATCTTCAAATGCCTTCACAGCATCCCACAGACGAACTGTGTTATCCATTGAACCTAAGAAGAAAAAAACCCCACAGTTTAAAGTATTTTATTAATAAAATGGTATATAAAAATGGTTCTGGGGAGCAAGTTAGCAGAAATTAAAGCAGAAGACTATAGCAAGCCTCATATAGGCTACTGAATGCACACATAAAAGTTACCAGTCCTTGCTGGTTTTGCTAAGTAAGTGATTCTACTTTGTCTTTTTCAATTTAAGGAACCAATTATATCATTTGTCTTCAGAATTATGGAATACAATGGACAGTTCACTGTTCCTGGTGAATTTTACCTGATGCTAAAATCTCCCCATCCCTACTGAATCTGAGCGCATAGATAGTGTCAGTGTGTCCTTTCAATTCGCCAACCATCAGGCCGTGTCCAATATCCCACAGCAGAACTCTTCCATCTGTTGCTCCAGTAGCCAGGAATCGTCCATTAGGAGAAAATGCCAATGAATGAATTGGTCCCTAAAACAGGCATGGGGAGGCAGCAAAACAATTAAGTCTACTCACATTCAGTCAGTCAAGCTGCATACAGAGCAGAACTTTTTAGAATCCCAGCACAGAAATAAAATTACTTTCACATTGTCAGTGATCTGCCTTTACCTTATGTCCAGTGAATATTCTTACACAATTCCCATTCAAAACATCCCAGAGCCTTATAGTCCTGTCTGCTGAGCCTGTAGCAATATAGTTGGAGTTTGGATGAAATCGGGTACACGTCACATCTGCAAGATGGCCAGCAAAGATCCGTAATGGCTGATAGTGATCTGTTGCCCACAGACTGAAAAGAAAAGCTTTATTAATAAAAGAACCCTAAAGAAGTTCAGTCTCTGGATCTGTTGGAGCAGCTCTAGAGGAAGCCACAAAAATGCTGAGAGGGTTGAAGTACCTCTGCAATGAGGAAAGCATAACAGTTTAGCCTGGAGAAAAGTTGGCTCTGGAGAGACCTTGTGGCCTTTCAGTACTTAAAGGGAGATTAGAAGAAAGATGGGGACAGACCTTTTTCAGGGCGTATTGCAACAGGGCAAGGGATAATGATTTTAAACTAAAGGAAGGCAGATTTAGTCTAGATATAAGGAAGACCTTTTTTACAAGGAGGGTAGTGAAATACCCAGGTTGCCCAGAGAGGTGGGAGATGGCCCATCCCTGGATGCATTCAGGGTCAGGTTGGATGGGGCTCTGAGCAGCCTGATCTATTTTAACATGTCCCTGCTCATTGCAGGGCTGTTGGACTAGATGGCCTTTAAAGGACCTCTCCAGCCCAAACTGTTCCACAATTCTGTGATATGTTACACAATGAGAAAAAAAACGTAATTGTGGAGTGATTTCTTATGGGTCAGTTTCTTGAATTAGCAGGATGTTTTTTGGAAAAATATGTTTTTCAGAATGGAGAAATAAAGAATATTCTGACAAGTTGTTCAACAATTAAAGGAGAATACTTCTAATAAGAGAGTCACTTAGGAGGACATCATCTCTTTAATCATCAGATAATGTAATTTGTGTTGAAAAATAGAAAACCCATGAGAAAATATAATGTGTGTTGAAAAAAGAGAAAAACAACATTAAAATGTTTATTCAGTATTTTATCTGACATAAAATTTATTTTAAGTAATAGAGTAGGCAAGAGTATATCAGCTAATGACTTTCAGGGTTGATCCACCACAAACTGACCCAGACAAGTAAAAAACACATGCAGTTTCTTACCGAGCCACTCTGTCGTGTCCCCCAGACACAAAGTAATAACCATAAGGAGAGAACTGTGTATCCCAGACTGGATAATTGTGTCCTTTATATCCCACCAAACACGTGAACGTTTGGAGACTCCACAGTCTCACAGTGCCATCCTCAGAACAGGACAATAGATAGTTCCTGTCACAGAAGGAAATATAGCATGTGACACATCAAACTCACACGGGGGCTGTACAAATATTGCATGAACACTGTGAGATGTCCATGATAGAAGCGTCCCCTCAGCAGCACCGCTTTGGCATGTCACCCATCAATCAGCATTTCAGTGCAGTAAGCAACAATAACCAGTTCAAGCAGAACCCAGACCTACGCCCTTA